TTTTTTCAAGAACTTCAGTCATATGTTTTTCGTCCTCTGACCTTCTTTCGAATATGTCTTGATGGTTTAGCGAGTTTGTGTTGGCGTGACTCTGACTCGATGACTTCATCGGGAGGCTTATCTGTTGTGCGTTTGGCATGGGAAGCGTTCGTGTGGTTGACAACAGTGGTGTGGCCATCTTCGGGAGACGACGTTCGCGACGATTCCAGTTATGGTGGTGATGACGATGACGATTACAGCATACCAGAAGAGAATGCAAAGAAGGTAGTAGTTCTCTCGCTTTCAAATTATTGCCTCATACGAATAGGGATTCCTAATTGGTGTTACGTCCCAAGGGATGATTCATGAGAGACGCTGTCGTCTGTAACAACCTATTATAATTAGATGAAGCGTTCAACGGTATTTCTGAGTCATCACATCCGCCCATGGGAGATCTAACACAAGGAAAGTAAGTGTAGCTACCCTCCTAAAAATGTTAAAAACTAGTAGAAGATTAAAAGGTTCGGCTTGTTGAATCAAGTATTAGGTCATCTCATTCAAACATGTCCACGGTTTTATTCGAATAAAATGAACAGCAGGAAAGATAAAAAGCTAATACTTTGGTGTGAAGTCAAGCAGATCTTGTCGTTGTTAACGACCCGATCCCAGCGTCTAGAAAACACCGCGCAGCTTCTTCATTTCAACAAGTATAGACAAGATGCTTTTGATGTCAGTATAGATGATCAACGAATTGTCGTAGCGCTTCCCAACGAGTAGGGCGTTCAGTTCGCTAAAACAGCTGAGGTCGCACGGCTGCAGTTGGGAAAATACGGCTGATAAGAAGAGGTCACAATATCCGTTTGGTCGAAATACCCGTGAGCAATATGAGCTATGTGGGGTCTGGCATCGACATAGGTGATGATATCGTTATTGTAGTTTTATACTGCTATTCCTTTGTCAATTTGATTCGCTAAGAAACAAGCCATACACTTGAGCAAACGCCGGAGGTTTTTCCCCGACAGAGCCGCCTAAGAGAATCCATCGCCATAATAATCATCCACGTGAACCCACGTGACTTCTCGTGATCCAATTCGGGCAGTTCCTCATTCGCGTTAATCCAAAGTTGACACTTCTGACTTTGGCCTCAGCGTACAATTACACACAAATTTCGTTTATGAGCAGGGTCCAGTTTGATAGTCTTAAATGCCGTTATTGGCAGAGAAGAATCATTGCTACAGACACCAATTCGATTCTGGACTCTTGCATCTGGGAGTAAATGGGATATCCAAAAACATGTTCTGTGGACCATCCCCAATTTTTGGGCACAATTTGCGTAACAGGTGCAGCTAGACTGCAAGTCTCGTGGGCAAACATCGCAAAGGTTCAACATCTGTGATGCGCCATTTGAAACCTCATTTCATCCACCCGCTCTTCTTGGGCAAGGTGGACAATATGAGCGCGTCCTCAACCACAACTCGCTTCCGTTCTCCCTTCTTTGAGCTCTCACACCATATCTTCAACGTAGCACTTCGAGAACACTGTATCACGCGTAAGTTGAGCCAGCACACAGAGAATTCGAGTTGCGAATTTTACGTGTGTCACCAATCATTTGGAAATTCCGCCTCGATTTTGGTCACTATGAGTTCTTTTATGTTTTTAAATGTTCTCTTCCGCGGCTGTGTAAAAGTGGGGGATACCGTAGCTAGCATGATAGCTTTCAAACGAAAGAAAGCAGAGGGCTCTAGCTCTTTCACTTCTCTCACCATTTATCTAGCTGTCTCCACATGTTTGAATGAGATGATCCAATATTATCTGGGAACTAAATAAGTGGTATTTAATGGGACTTTTTACCCGTTGAGCTGTCATTCTTTTTCAATGAAGGCTTTTCTATGAGAACAGATATCCGCTCCGTTGCTGCTAATGTAACGTTTTCTGGAGTCTTCTTTAGTAAAAGTTCTTGTTTAGTTGTCTCGATCGAGCAACGGCGACGTTAGTAAGCAGCTGCGAGCGTCGGTGGCGACGACGACATGCGCTGCAGTGAATCGTAAAGGCGGGCGAGGTGCTCGGGACAGCACGAAGGCGAAGGAAAAGGTCATTATCGCGAATGCGGTGGAAAGAGAAAAAGTGCGTGTGAGAAGTTCATCTTCCTTCTTTTCCTTTCATATTCGTTTCTGTTTTGCCTCCACTTACTTTTTTATTGGGCTAATTTTGTTGCCAATATTATAGCCGAACGGCCTCGCGATATCGAACGGCAAGACGGCGAATGGCACGACGTACGAGACTGTGAGAGACTCTAGCTTACCGAAAGAGAATGGGCATGACGCTAGCAGGTTGGCTTGTCTTTTCATTTATTCGATTCTGTAACTGTTTCCACCGTTTCCGAAGGCCTTTCATTATCTCTTCCCTTTTGAGTAGATGTGATGAATGCTTTTTTCGATGGACATCAATCACACCTATTGTTTGATATTTGGTCCCAAACATCGCATCAGTTTGGGGAACGAATCTCAATTACAATCGCATGTGATTTACGCCTATAACAAAAATTCGTCGATATTATCAAAGGCTGCATTATTCGAACCGTGAGCGCACCCCAATGGGAAGCAATAAAACGTGCTTTTTTATATTCCCTTGTGGCAGAAGGATTGATCCGTATTCCAGTATTCTTGTGATCACTTCTGCATAGCGAACTGTGGCAAAACGGCTGATAACAATCAGTAGCGAAAATTCAATATCTGCTAATAGTTACTCTTTGCATCGCGGTTCAGTACAGTGTCGGTTTACCGGCTCATTACGTCAGCTGTCGTCGTACGAGCGCTGATAAGCCATGGTAAGTACACCATCAGAAAGGAAGCGGTGATGAATTTAGTTGGTAGAGCTTCTCTTGGAAAACGAGCGGTGCATGTTCGATTCACGCGCACTACAATATAGGTGACCTTGTTTCGACCATCTTTAGAACAGTTTTTGAAACGACGCACACTTCCTCTTTTCCTTCCAATGTGGAAATACCTTTTTTTTAGCTTACAGTGGAACTGGGAACTGGTTGTTAACTAAACCGTCTTATGAAGTGTATCACATCCGTAGCCGTGTGTTTAGCGCTAGGTTTATTCCGGAAACCATCGACTGTCTGATCGCACTTCACCCATAGCAATTTCAAAGAATGCGATATCGTATCTAGCATCGGTATCTTTGTTCCCAAGATTACAATATCATGGAAATCTTTTCAGTGTTTCATCATTGGAAACCGAAAGGCTGAAAGCTGAAGTGATGCAGCTCAAGACTGCTGAGGCTGATGCTAGGATACAACTTTCTGTTAGCCAGAACAACGAGAAGCATGCAAGGCAAGAAGCTGTACAATTGCGATCGAGACTTGAGCAGATGGAAGCTAGGTGAGGAATCTTCGCTTTTTTATTCTTGCAAGGAAAGTATTTCAACACATGGAGCGCTTTTTCAAAACGGTTTGTTGTATGTTG